TCCCTTGACACTGCTATTATTTTAACTACCTTCACTCCTTGGCAATATTTATTGTTTTAAAAAGCAGTGATTAGAATTGTAATAAAACCTAAATATGATGAAAGTGAATTTGTACATTATTTTATTCTTGACAATTTACAAGAAAAATTTTAAACACTATTATTTATTTGATTGTTTATTTACAAAAAATAATTTTATATTCACAATATTCTAAAAACTAATACAATTAGAACTAATGCAACGCAATATTTATCATTTACCAATTTATAAAGAAATAAATATGAAAATAATTTTTTATTTGTCAATTTATAAACATTTACAAAATTATAAAAGTATTTGAACAACATCTATAAGGAAATCCTTATTATTTACCATTTTATAAAATTTGAATCGATTGACAATTAGCCAGTTTTTTGCTAACCATTCCAATAAACAATTTAATAAGGGGAAAAACCATCTTTTTGATACTCCATTTTTTGCAGGGACAAAGGTCAAAAATTGCTTAAAATTATTATTCAAATCAAAACAGCAGTCATTAATTTAAAAATTTTACATGGAATGATGTGATTTCTTAAAATTTTAAAAATAAAATTTTCTTTGAAATATAATCTGGATGATTAATTTGTTTTTTATGGCTTATTAACTTTTTGCAGGTTATTTAAAGCCAGAAAATATTTTTAGATTGTAAGAACATTTTGGAGATAATGATTTACTGATACAAGTCCTACTAACTGGGGGGAGAAGAAGTGAATTAATACCTTTTTGAAAGGTATTATTCAGGATTAAGCGAATATGGCAAAGCCAACTGGAAACTGGAACATGACTCTCCCATTTCCAATTTCAAGCCATTATCCCTTACACCACCTGCACATCCAAACTTACAGCAGCTAGTATTCCCAAGTGGTCACACATCTAGCTACTGACCAGACTCAACATTACTTAACTTCGATTGTCATATGAGAACTAATGTTTCAACGTGATATGGCCACAAGCCAATTCCTTTAGAAATATATGCATATATGAGAGTGTGAGAGAGGCCACTTAGAAAAGTTTTTAAAAATATAACACAAAAATGACGACATAAAGAATTACAATCTGTGATTCTTATTAACAAGCACCTGTTTACAGACTTTTCATTTTGGCAGCAAGTGGAATGTTTTTGTCTATAGATGCTTACTGTACAAAACTAACTTTGGCATAAAGCTGCATTTCTGTGTCACTCATTAAAGAAAAAACTGTCAACAGCTTGCTTAACTAATATGCTAACCATTGCTAATTAGTAAATAAATCATTCATTTTTTTGTTACAAAGAAATGATATTTAGACACTTTCCTAAAAAAGTGTAATGTTCATATATCTTCTTTAGAAATATCTAAACCAATTCTGTATTAATTATATGCAAAATTCAAAGTCAGTGTTCTTGAAGTAAGAATTTCAGAAAATTTAAGACTACTGTTTGCACAACGCAAGACTCAACTATAATAAATGAAATACTGTATTTAAGACTTGAATCTTGCTGACATCCTGTTATTAGACGATATTATTGAGATTTTTTCCTTCCATTTGCCTTTGTTAATATCCTATACAATTTAATTTCTAATAATCTTTCTGAAATTCATCAGTTAAAAGAACTTAATATTTATGAAAACTGCAATAAAAGAGAGTTTAAGAACTGAAATTTCCTCTTCTATAGAAGAACCACACACTTAGATGAACGTCTTAATATATATCAAACCATATAATTATCATTGTATATTTATTTATATATTTCCTGTCCCACCTGTAGTGAGAAGGGAGGTAAATCAATTTAAGTTAGTCAATTTATGAGTAATTACTTCCCTTAGTCATTTTAATAATCTATACAAATAAAATATTCACCTGCATTTAGACAAAATTAGTTCTTCAGCAAAATGAACTGTTTAATTAATCAGTTCTTTTACTCCTACATTTCTTAGATTGCAGTCTTAATTGTTCAAGCCTTTCATGTGAGGCACTCAGATACCTTTGCCTATTAAGTAATCATTTTTCTTCAACTTGGTCTTGAAATAGGCTTTGTTATCAGCGTCTTTGTTGTTCTGTTGCTAATCATTTTCTTCTAAGAGATATTTCCATTTCATTGTTATATTAAACACATAAAACTTTTAACATGAAAAGATATCAAACAAAAACAATTTATATAATACCAGGAATAATCAATAATCATAGTTATCATTGAATATCAAAAAAATATAAAGGGAACAGATTAATTAAATGGTTTATTGGCCTCTATTTTAGTTGTGAATTCTTTATCTCTGCTTCATTGAATCTCAATACATTGTTTGAAGACTTTTGTTTAACTGCATCTCACTATTAAAACTTTCTAACAATTGCAGTTAATTTTTGATGGCCCATGTACACTAGTGTATGTGTATATATATATATTATATTATATATATATATATATTATATTATATATATATATTATATAAGTATTATTCAAGCATTAATAGTTCATTAATAATTCAATAATGCTTAAGAAAATTTGTTTTAGGAAAAATTAACAATTCTATGACCAAAAAAAATCATTATTTTTTTTTCCTTTGGACAAGAGGATTTAGAAAAAAAAAACACCAAAAAGAAGAATGAGAAATTTAGGTATTAATGTGTAATATTATTTAGAGTGTCTTTCATTTTGTGAGTTTGTTATCTTTATCTAGAAATATTTAGCACATTGCCTGAAAAACCCAAGCCTATATGCCATCAGTTTGGGTCTCTCTTTAAGTGCTTTGTTTTATGCTTACAGCAAAGGAGTTGAAAGGCAGTTTAGATGTAAACCCCAATGTGTGAGCAGTCAACATAAAACCTAAACTGTTGGCAAAAACGGAGTTTCGGCAATTTTATTTCATTTTTTTTCTCTCTTTTTTAGTAATAACTTGTAGTTGGAAATCCTGATATAATACTAACAAAAAACAAAAAATCATCCATAAACCAGGGTATCAATTAGAAAAATCTCTCAGAATATATACTGAGAAACTGAATGGTAAAAAATGCTTTCAGAATGTGTAAAGATAAAAAAATAATCACATAATGAATACAGAGAAAAATGTTCATACAATATGTACATATAGAAATAATAATAAAATGTGTATTATTCCCCAATACTGATCTCACAGTGTGTACAGTTACAAAAAATTTTAAATAATTACATAAAAAAACTCACTTCAAACAGTGTATAGTTAAAAAAACCCAAAAAAAACAACTAATAAAAAACCTCAAAATAATCATATAAAAAAAGATATTAACTCAAGTCTTACTATAGAAAAATACAATTTTAGAACGAGCACAGTAGGAAAAAAAACAAAAAAAAAACGGTACTACTTAAAATGATTGGTCCCCTTGTAAAAATTAAAGAAGAATTAATTTTTTAACAATTTTTGTAGATTAGCATTCATTAGACATTCCTCAACCTACAACATTTGTCAGAATGAAAAATATTCATTTTTTTATCATTTTAGAAGAGGGTTATGTTCATAATATAAATACAGTGTCAAATTGATCCCTGATTTCTTAAAGAGTTATCCATACTTTGTTGTTGTTTACAAATGTCAAGTTTGAAACTGTACTTACATCCTTGATAACTGTGTACCACTGATGTTGCCTTTTATCCCAATTCATAATAGTATGTAGTTATCAAAGACATACGAAGAGTTTCAAAGTTTATGGGTAAACAATAATATATTAAAATAAGTAAAAAAAATAAATATAATCTGTGTGTAATTAATCAAAATAGTTTTATTTTCAATCATTTCACCCCCAAACAAGGCAATAAAGCCACTAAGTTTTGATGCTGAGTGTGAAAGAATCTAAGAAGAAAATGGGGTGAGAAGAATAGAAAAACAAAAATTAAGAATACATGACAAATGACATTGTGTTTATGTTTTTGAAAATCAAACTTGACTGGAAAGCAAAAACCGAAAGTAAGCTCCACAAGCGAGATATACAAGAAAAGAAACTGTTAGCATAGAACTTACGGTTACATCTAGATTTTTCAACTGTAAAATGCTGGGACCTTGCTGCCAATTTGTAAATAAAAACAAAATACAGTGAGTCAGGAATTGAGTTGACACTGTATTTAAATTATGAAGAGGATCACACTTCTAAAATGAAAAAAATAAAAAAATCGATATTTTTTCATACTGACAAATGTGTCTTGAGAAAGGTCTAATGAATAATAATCTATAAAAATTGTTAAAAAAATTAAAAAAAAAAAATTTCCCTATTTTTTTTTTTTTTTATAAATGGACCAGTCAGTTTAAATAGTACCCAAAAGTTTTATAAAAAACAAAATTGACTCCAATATGAGAGTGGAGAAAAAAATCCTTTAGTGTTTCTTTGGCGGCTGATGTTTCTGTGAGTGGTAAACAATAAGTTCATCAATAACAACCACCCTCTTGTTATCTTCCATCTTGAGGATATATGGATGCTGGCCAGTCTGTAGCTTATCAGGGATTTTAGACCTAACAGTCAGGTGTGGTGTGTCATGGGCCCTCACACTGGCTAGTGTATCACAATCATGCAATGTGTTCACCTCCATAACAACTTCATTTCCCAGATCAGCTACACTAAAACGGTAACAGTTGGCAGATCCTGGTGTGATCCGAGCACTTTTTGTAAAATCAGGAATATTCTTGGCCAAATGTCGTCCCGAGATTTCTATATCACCCAAGACGCCAATGAAACAACGAATGCCTCCAATTTTCTCATAGTCCGAGTAGGAAACACTTCTTAAATAAATGCTGATTCCTGTTTCCCCTGTGACGGCGTCTTTGTTTTGACGGTCAAGGAAATGGACCCTTCCCTTAAGATTTAGGGAATTCACTGCACGGAATTTACTGATACTTACAATATAAACAGCCGGACTCTTAAGAACAAGAGACTCTGAACTTGGAAGGATAGAGTTCTCCTCAATGTAGAGACCCATCTTGACCCAGGCATATGGGTTAAACTTTACGTTGTCCCTCTCAAGGACAAGTGCATCGACATGTTCTTTTGAGAAATGACGGTAATTGCACAGATGCTGCTGGAGGTATGAATCTGTGAAGTCAAAAAAAGATTTTTCAGGTGGGAATCGGTATGCAACATACATGATATCCTCCAACACTGGTTTGTCCTGATTGTCATTCCAGACAAGCAGTGATGCTTGGGTTGTATCACAGAGCCATTTCAGCTGGGGGATGGAGTTTGCGATCAGAGACAAACGGACGGAAAAAACAAGGGGCTGAGTGATTTCCCACTTGCGGATCAGGTCATGCATGTCAAGCACCATGTTCCATGTGTAGCCAGACTGACTGACATCAGTGTGGTACCCCGAGGTCCAGCCAAGGGACAAGGTGCATGAGGGAAAGAAGGTTCGTACATTACGCAGAAATCGTGTGGAGTCAACTGGAAGACGATCGCTAAATGGGCCAGGAAGTATATCTGCATGGAGCCATATGGGAATCTTCAGCTGGAATTAAATTATGGGAGAAAAGATTATTAATCTTATATATATTTTAGGATATTGCACCGTAAACATGTAAAAATCACTACACAATTGCAGTTATGTTTCAATTGGAATTGTACTCTATTCATTCTCATCGTACCTGTATATATATAAACACTAATATAGTTCAAAAGTTTAAAGCCACCCCCAGAATTAACCTGTGATGAACTTGAAGGAAGTGAAAAAAAAAAAAATTAAAAAGAGCTCTTAGAGTCATTGAAAAAAGAATGGAATCAATTATTAAACTTGTGCTCTGAGAAACCTTTGCAACAAATGCCAAAAATTTCTGCTGCAGTAATCAAGGCTAAAGGAGGATATTTTGATAAGAGCAAAATTTAATTATAAAGTACTTCTTTTCTTTTCATCATAATAAAATTTCTATAATATCTCACTTTTGTTAACCATGTATAATAAATTTCTCTTAAAGTACAAATCAACTACTTTTGGGGCCAATTTTTAAAATTACTAGGGGTTCTTCAAACTTTTGAACTGTAGCATACATACACAGGGAGTGCAAAAGTAGGTATACAGTAATGAAACACAAAACATGCAGACAAAAGATATTGCATTGATTATACAAACATATCAATTCCTCAAATGTTCAAACTGTTTCCCCCCATCATACAAACACTCCTCTTTACCTGCAAAATTATTATTATTTATTAAAAAATAAAATTATAATAAATGTTTATAATAAAAATTATGAAAATAAAAATATTAAAGATTTTAATGAATTCTAGTATTAAATAATAATTCATTGAATTTTTTCTTTTAATTTTAGGAAATATTTCTGTCATTGGCTTTGAACTACAAACTATTCTTCTATTGTCCGGTTTATCAGTTATGTGTGTCCATCATAAGCATTTGTTGCAAGTGTTTAGGAATCAATATATATTGAAGAGCTTTATACATCTTGGTGAAAAAATGTTTTATCATTTTTGTTTGAAATTGTATCATTTTGATTTTATAATTTGTAAAAGATTATTACAAGTTATAAAAAACAAAAGTTTCAATTGCTTTACATATGAGTGATTTTTTAATAAGCATCCCTCCTAAAGGTACAATTTCTAAATAAATAGTGAAGACATTTATTCAAAGAAATATGGCAATTTATACAATTCTCAAATAGCATTATTATTTTTGGGCACCTTACAAATTAATCATCATTAATACTACACAGTAAGAGAAAATAAAAGAAAGTGCAAGTACAAGGGTCTCATGCCCCCACCTCAAATCTATGATACATACCCCCGAATCTATGATGAGGGGCCCCAAACTATACTAAATCTCAATTTTCATAAAAATATTATTGTAAATACAAATTTTACTTTAACCTAATTATGCACAATAATGGATCGTATGCAATAAATATAAATTAGAGACATGTCATAATAGATTGCTCCATTTTAAATAAATCAACAATATTTTGTGGCAATTTTTAACATTAACTTGAGATTTTTCTTGTTAAAAAACTGAATAATTTTAAAACACATTCAACATTATGGATAAAAAATAATGAATTTTATATAGTGTTTTTCAAGATATAGCATGAACAAAACAAATCCATGGATTTGGACTTAAAAAAAAAAAAGAAAAAAAGTGACCTCAGAATGGTGTCAAAATCCTCAAAAATTTGAATCCTTTAATAGTCAGTTGTACTTAGTTTAATTTGTAACATATATAAATGTTGATAGAAAAAAGCAAATGTTGATAGTGAGTGTCACAAAGCACTGCCCAGGATCCCCAATCAGGTTTGAGCCCTCCAGTCAGTGGAGGGTGTTAGGGTAGTACACACCAGCCCTGATTATTAGGTCTACCAAAAGTATTTTCATTTTTATAGAACAAAGCTTGTACACATCTAAACTATCTAGGACTCACAGTGGCCTTAAAAGCAGATATTTGGCATTTTTGGAATATTTCTCCATGTGATATATGCTGTATGTAGTCTGAAAGTAAACAGGATTTCAGAACTGATCTAACTTTGTTCTAAGTATTTGACAAGTTCTGATTGTTTGAAATTAATCAAAACTCACACATCATTAAATGTTTAATCATTTAGATTTTGCATTATTGCTTTTTCTTGCCACTTTTTTTCTAGGAAAGTAATTGGAATTTTGTTGAAATGAGTGTTACAATTGACAGACATCTTTAACTTGACAATTTTTTTCAAAAATGACCTGTATCAATTGGATTTGCAGAAGTGGACTCTTACTCTCAGTCAAATTAATACAATTTTTTGCCTGCTTTTTTTTAGCACTGACACCCCACAAAATTTTGAATTATGCTATCCCTTATAGTATAAGTTCTTAAATACTAAAACAGTTAACATTTGAAAAATATAAGAAAATTATTCTGGGGAAGATATTTAAACCATACTCTATTCTATTCATTAAATTGACCATAACCCATCTTTGGCAACATATGCTGGTCACCAAATATCAGTTTTCAACATAACTTTCCTTGTATTTATCTGAAAATCAATGATCTAGACTTCTATTCATACATTTATTGGGATGCCAAATCCATTTTTGACTCTGAAAATCTCCCAAAAGCACTGTAAATGGGTTAAATTCAAAATTTAAGCTCTTTTGGAAATTTTGGCTTTTCACTGCAGATTAGAGTTTCTATACTGCAACCCCTAATTTTTAAAATTAGAAAGTTTTGTTTTAATTTTCCTCATAAGTACAAATAACATTAATACAGTTCCACAAATGTTTACTTGACACTTATTATAACTCACTCCTGGAGATATTATATTGGGTCTTGCTTAGGCTACTCGTCATGACATCATTAGAGTTCTTCCTGTCTGACTCCAATGGACTTCACCTGACTCACTTTAAGTTCTTTATTTAAGGTGTCTTGCCTAGTTCATTTGTGTTACCAGGATTGTCTTATTTGCTCCACAACATCCCCACTTTTGAGATTTTTTTTTTTCACTAGTAATATTTTATTTTATTTTTTAGCATTCACACCCTCCTCTTTCTAGTGAGTTCGCCACATACTGAACTCTTTCATTTTGGATCAACCTCTAGTTTTTCCATGATTCCTTTTTCTGGTAATCATACTTGTACATTCAACAAATTCTTTTTTTTAACAAACTCCATTGCCTTTTGTGTTTCCATTTTTTTTCTTTTTACTCTATATATCATTTTTCCAATTCGTGACCTTATTACGCCATCTTCCCATATTTCTTTTCCATTTTTATATACTCCGAAAAACAATTTTTCACCAATTTTAAAAAATCTTGTGTCCTTTTTGTTATCTGTTCTTATTCTTTTTTGACCTGGTAACAATTTGTTGAACACTGATTTAATTTTTCTTGTGGACATCAATTCTGCCAGTAACATACCTGTCAGTGTATTGTGATTTGGCATACTCTCAAGAATTTTTGTAGTGCTTCTTTGCTCATTTTTTTCATTACTGATACGGGGGAGTAGTAATGTGTTCAATCAAGAATATTTTACAAAATTCTTTAAATTTGTAAGTACTGTTATCCAAGACTATGACTGAAATGCTATATCTTGCAAACAGTTCATGTAAAGAATTCACTGTAACCATGGAAGTAGGTTTTTTGCACTTACAAATTTCAGGTTACTTAGTAAGGCTATTCACTATCACAAGATAATGTGATTCATTTATTGGATCTGTGAAATCTATGTGCAGTCTTGATCACAGAATATCTGTCTTTGGCCAAGGTTGTAATTTTGTGGTAGGTGATATTGCTGCCATAGAATAACCTCTGCAGGCTTTTACTAATTTTTCAATGTATTGATCCATTTTGGTCCAGTATGCAAAGCTTCTCTTAAGAGATTTCATCCTTGAAATTCCTGGATGTCCACTATGAAATTCATTTAATATCTGCTTTTGTTATATGATGGGTATTACTACTCTTTGTGCAAACATCAGTACATTGTCACATAGTGAGTAAGCGTTCAAGTCAGGATTGTGTTCTAAAAATCATCTTGCTTACTTTCTTTTAGTCGTTTTTTTTATTTTCCAAATAAACATATCTTGTTCTGCTTTTACTTTTATTTCTTCCAGGGTAAGTGGTGATTTGTGTAATACATTGCATAATATATTTTTAATTTCTATTTCACTTTTTAATGCTGCAATAACAGTGTCCTCAAATGATTTGGTATTTTTGGTATCAAACTTGATAACCCCTCAGCATGTCCTAGTTTTTGAGACAGATGGTATTCCATCCTGAAATTATAGTTTAATAAAATTGAACCCCAGCATTGTAATCTATTCATTGTATGCGTAAGAATTCCTTTTTTCGAACCATAAATTGACAATAGAGGTCTGTGATCTGTCTGTAAATGAAAAGTTCTTCCGTGTATAAATTTGTAAAATCTGAGTGTTCCTGTATCATAGTCACTCACTAGCATCTGAAGCCAATGATTTCTGCTTTTGCATTACAGTGCACTAATGATAAGTCTGATGTTATTATTTTCTTCATTTCTTCAAATGCCTTCTAACACTTATCAGTCCAGTTCCACTTTACACCTTTTGCTAAGCAAATTGTTCAGTGGAGTTCTCAAAGTATGCATATTAGGTATATAAATTTGATAATAGTTTGCTAGTCCCAGAAATGCTTGTAACCTAGTAACTTTTGTTAAATAAATTCCTAGAATCTAAAAATATTTTCTGGCTTTAAATAACCTGCAAAGGGTTGATAAGCCATAGAAAATAAATCAATCAGTTTCCTTATTCTGTGCCCTAGAAATTTCAACTCTTTCTAATGTTAAGTATAAGTGCCCGTTTTGTTTTCATTAAAAATGAATAAATTTCATAACGTTTTTCATATTCCATACACTTATTTTTGCCTTCTTTAAAATTCTTACAGAACTGAGGCAATATGGTCAGAGTTTTTACAAGAAATTAAGGGTTAATCAGTTGAGATCAAAAGAAGCTTATAATTTGTCCACAAAAATCTATGATTCCTGATAATGAGTCTAATAATGACAATAGTAGAGAATTAAAATACAGTATCTAAATATGACAGAGGGTTTTTAGACTTGGCACAAATGGCTTTCCACCATTAGAAATAATGGAAAAATGACCTACAGATCTTACCTCATCTTTCATTCCCTTCAGTAACTGAAGAGACATCTCAACAGCATCAATTGTTCGGAAGTCCAACTTGATTCCTTTTGGAAACTTCTTCACTCGCTGGAGCCACATTTTCAGAGTGAAATCTCCATCAACTGTGGGAAAATCTGAAATTATTGGGGTCAACGCTTGCCTTGGAGTCCCTTGTCCCTTCAATATTACATCTGCTTCAATCATGTCATAGGGACCTGTTGAAATTGAAATTAAGATATCAATATTTCTTAATGATAAGTATTCTGTCCTTAGCAGTATTAATGGCCCTATAATATGGTATTTAGAAATATTTAGTACATATACAAATATTAGTTCTGTCCCAAATTACAGTTGTTGCAGCAACCTTTTAAATTTTTCTTAAATTGATAATACCAGTAACCTATACTATTTTTTGTATAAACAACTATTATGCTTTTTTTCTGCCTAGGACCATAGTGTAGTATCTGCATGATCCCAGATCCTTCTAAGTGTGAATTATTTATACTTTTAAACTAAGAAATCTAATATGGACTTGGAAGAAATTTAGAAAGAGGAGGAAGAAGCAGAAAAAGAGGATGTGAAAGAAGAAAAGTAAGAGATAAAAACAAAGAAATAGAAAAGAAAACTAGGTAAAAAGAATATAATATATATATATATATATATATATATATATATATATATATATATATATATATATATATAGTTAAATTCCCAGATTTGTTTTTTTAATGTAACTATAACAACAAAAACATTTCGATTTCATTTTTGCCTTGAAAAAGTCGGAAGATTTAAACTCGTCAGCAAAATGTAAGATTTTTTTCCAATTGTCATTTGATACTATATATATATATATATATATATATATATATATATATATATATATATATAGTGTAACGGATATAAGAGAGTTGTCGGGGACGGGAGAAGAAGTCTTTTATATCCGGGTTTTCTTATATCCGGTTTGGTCTATTTTATATACATTAACACAGGCTCTAATTTGTATCTCTCTTATATATATTATATATATATATATACACAGTGTAATATTAAATACCAGCTCTGATTGAGGAATCAGAAAGCAGAGTTCAAATTCCATTTGAATCCATTATGTTCACTTATGTGCTAATACCCTTGGGGAAGGTATTAATGCTCTTCTTCTCCCTCCAGGTGTGGATAAATAGCAGGACAGACTGGGTTCTATAGCCTTGGATGGCAACTGGTCTAGGAGAAGGGCAACTCTGAATTCAAAACCTGCAGAGGGTCATTTGGGGACCTTGTGGCACGTAGTGCACCAGGTTTCTGTATTCGGCACTTGAAAAAGTGTGGTTGTTTCTGCACAAAGCCGTTACCACTATAATCAAATCATGTGTGCTGGTGTATGGCTGTCAGTCCCTAGGAACTGAGCTACTTGACACTCATACGTCGAATACAATAGCAGAGTCCACCATATGATATATGTTATCAAAATCTGTAGATACTACAGATAAAATATAAAGTATATAAAATATATACAGAAACAGGGGAAACATAAAAACAGTAATTAAATTTCACTGCTATCTACAACTAAATGTTTTATGCAGACTTAAAGGTGGTTAATGTTACTCTCACACAATCCTTAGGTGGTAAAAAAGCAATATAATACTCATAAAAGAATTCTTATTAGTGTTTGAGCCTTTTATATTATATTCTTACTATGTCCTGAACATTGAGTTCTTCCTGGATTCTATCCTCTTGGGAATTTATATATATATATATATATATATATATATATATATATATAACTGACAGTAATGCCAAAGGGCTTGTAAAACTAAACTAACTAAAACTAGGTCATCCATCAGGACACTCAATAGCATCTACAAGCTTCTTCCATTCAGCATGATCTCTCAGTATCATATAAACATGCGTATGGTAGCACAGGAGAACAAACAAAACAACAATACTACCAATGAGGTAAAAGAAAAAAAAAAGGCAAGAATTCTTTTGTACTTGCAAATACAGCGGATATGAGCAGAATGTCTATGTGTGGGCGAGGTGTGGCAATTTTGAATGTGGGTAGAGTTGGTAAGAGCTGGCGTTGATGCATTTGGAGGGTTGGTTGGAGTGGATTAGCTAAGCTGATATTCTGACTTTGCCAATACAGAGGAAGTGAGTGTAATATCTGTATGTGGGCATGATGTGGGTGTTTGAAGGAGGGTGGATCTCAAGTGGATATGTGCGTCAGGGCAGTTGACCGAAATCATGGTGGTAACATTGAGAGCAACCTTGAATCTAACTTTAACAATACAGAGACTGTGAATGGAATGTCTCTTTGGGCATGGGGTGTGTGTTTGGAGGAGGGTGGGTTTCAAGCAGATATGCGTGTCAGGTAGGCTGTCGACAGCCCAGCCTGTTGGCTGCATTCTGTGTCAGTCGTTTATGAGGGGTTTTTCTTTTAAGCAAATCTGGTAGCTCCCACACTTGACTTTTTCCTTTGGTGGCAATGTTTGTGATAGGTTTCTTTTTGTTGTATTTTAGATTTTTACAGGAATTTGTCTCATGGGCCAGATGTGATGCTTGGAGCCCCTGTGCAGAAGGCACCATTTTTTTTATTTTGGGTTTTTGCTTTTCTAGCGCTCACATCTGGCTGACAAGTAGAGTGAATCAGAAAGAGATGTAATTTGCAGTAGAATATAATATTTATAACAAAAAATGTATGACAAAGTGGAAAAAGTTTTTGTGTGATGTGTTTTATCTTTTAGGACTTCATTTGACTAAATTTGATATGTTGGTGGGACTACAGATGTGCATGAACATGGGATGCTGGGAATTTAAAATTTTTATTTTTTTTAATCTAGCAGATTTCATTTAGATTCTTTTTCTTTTTATCACTTTTGTTAGTAGGTATCCCACACTGTGATAATAGAAGTTCTGTCAGGAATGGTGAAATGTTATAAGAGCCAGAATGCAAATTTACTGTGGATGACCTTGCGATCAAGGCACTCTCTAAACATTATATGTATCTCTCTCTCTCTCAATTGATTTAAAATCAATTAAATCAATTAATTTATAATATTAATGCTCTGTAAATTTACATTGAGCACTATTTTGTAAAAATAAAAATATCTATAAGAACACCGGATTATATATCTTACTGTTCTTTCTTTTTATTTATATATATATATATATATATATATATATATATATATATATAGTCAATGACAAAATTATTCATACAACCATCAATTTTGAATATTTTCATCCATTTCTCAGAATCTAATGCCCGTATGATGCCAGGCCACAAAAAAGGAATATAAAACTCAATTTTCAGAACAATAGGTAAAATAAAACAAATTTGACAGGCAAATTATGCAAAATAAGAAGAGACAAAATTATTCATACAGTAGAAAATATCATTTTAAATATATTGATTTGTGAAAGTTTAAGTAACTTATAATTATTTTATCGCCGAAGCCTTCTAGACTATTTATTCAGTAGAATATTTGTGATAATTCCAGCAGAGAACATTATGTGGTACATAGAGTGTGGCCATTGTTATTCTTATGTTTACAACATGATGGGGAAGACAAAGGAGTTTAGCATTGACTTGAGACACAAAATTATTAACTTCCATAAGTCGGGAAATAGAAGTTTAAACAGTTTGCCACAACAGAGAATTTGCCTCGGTGTAGAAGAAAACCCACACTCTCCCCAAGACCTGCACAAAAACTGTGTCGCAAGGTTAATATAAACCCAAAAGTTGTTTTGAAAGACATCACCAAAAGTTTGGATATGATGGGTATCAGATAAGTACTCGCACAATACAACATTGTTTAAATAGAAATGGGTTGTATGGAAACCGACCATGATGAACCCCTCTTAACAAATCATATCACTGTCGCTCAGTTTAATTCTGTCAAAACGTTCTTGGACAAAGAAAATTGATTTTGGTAACAAGTACTATGGAGTGATGAAACAAAAATTGAACTTTTTGGGCATAATGATGTACAGAAGATTTGGTGCAAGAAAAGTGAAGCTTTCCTCCCAAAGAACACATAAAAATGATGATGTTTTGGAGTTGTTTTAGCTCAGTGGGGACTGGACAATTAATTGCAATAAGAGGAATAATGAAATCTGCAGACCATATAAAAATTCTGAATGAAAATCTACAACTATCAGTGCACAATCTTCATGTAGGTCAGTGATTTATTTTCCAGCAAGATAATGATCCCAAACATGTCTAAATCAGTGACTGCATGGCTTCAGAAAAAGATTACACTTCTTCCATGGCCTTCAATGAGTCCTGACTTTAATCCTATTGAAAATCTATGGCAAGAATTGAAAGTTTGAATAAATCCTCAGTCAGCAAAAAAACTCCAGGAATTAGAACAAATAACCATTTAAAAATGGAAGAAAATCCCAGAAAACACTTGTTCAAATCTCATCAAAAACTTTAGAAAACAATTGCAGCAATTTATAAAGATGAGAGGTCATGCTATTGACTATTAATATTGTTCAATTTGTTTTTATTTTTTATAATGTACAAATAATTTTGTCTTTTTCTATTTTGCATAATTCACCTGTCAAATTTTTTGTCTTTAATCTCTTGTTCTGAAAATTGAGAAACCTGGCATCATACAGGCATTAGATTCTGAGAAATGGATTAAAATATTCAAAATTGATATTTGTATAATTTTGTCATTGACACTACACACACACACACACATATATATATATATATATATATATATATATATATATATTAGTGCATGTGTGTACTTAGGCAGCAATTTTTCATTCAAATGTATCTTGTTAATAAGTATAAACATTATATCTCTACTGAGTTTGTTCATCCTCATTTCCATGTTATGAATTATTCTTTTCAAAAATGATATTTGTTGATGCATGAAATTTCTATAACTTTTATTATGGCTCTGTCCAAGGTGTTTTATAAAAGTATTGGAAATTTCATACATCAACAACTGCCGGCTTTGCAAAGAAGAAGCTGAACAAACACTATGGACACAAAATGTCTATATTCTTTAATAGTAGGCATTCGTTTATCATCTGTTTGGCCAAAATTCAGTCCTTCTCTAAGCAGCATCTGGATTGTCTTAACTGTCTAATCTTTACATGGCACTTTCTTCTACAGGTATGACAGACAAAGCTGGAATGTGAAACAAAATTTGCTCTCTCTCTGTTTCCTGTGTCTTCTGATCTTCAACAGTTGGTTTCACTTTTTTCTGCTCTTCATTACTACTTCTTGAACAGCATGGCACCAGCCATTGCGATTACTTGATAGCTGTTTATAGTTACCAGAGCCTATGAGTTTCAAGTCCCTCTTGCAAACATCCAGTTTACCAAAGAGCAGCCTACCAGATGGTATCCCATGTCCAGCCCACTGCACTCTTTAATAAGAGATACCATATATAATCATGTAATGTGCAATCTTGCATATTGTGTGACCCCTAAATTTTCACTTATAAAAAACGATTTTGCCATGTATCTCATATATCATGCAAGTTCCTTTTTCGAGAGGCCAAATTAGAATAGACTAACCTCTTTTCCTCTATCTCTTTATTCCATCTTCTAGTTAAATAAGTTAGAATAGTAAATATGTATAGCAATAAAAAAAAAAACGAATGAGAAACAGCTATACATCTTATAAATGTAAACAATGGAAATGATGCATATTTGCTGTTTGTATTTTATAATATACTAATATATAAATATTACATGCATTATTACTGGATACAGTTAATTATAACACCAATTTTATAAAAATCATGTTTATTTTAAATACAGCTTTACTTTTTAACTACAATAAATGGATATATAGTTTTGTCAATGGCATAGCCATGGCCAGTAGTACATACACTAATTTTATATCTTGTGTATGATGTGAGGTGCAGTGGAGTAATGGATAGTAGCTCAGATTGAGGAATCGGAGAGCCGAGTTCAAATTTCAGTCCAATCCATTACATTCACTTATGTGTTATTACTCTTGGGAATTTATGAATACTCTTATTCTCCCGCTAACTATGGGTAAAGAGCAAGACATACCAGGTTCTATAGCCTTGGATGGCAACTGGTCTACTGCAAAAAGAAATGACAACCTACTGCGGGAAAAAATCTGCCTCGTCAGTCATGTATCAAAAGATACATGATCGCCTAAGCATGTATCACATAACTGACTGAAATTCACTTACGTGCTAATACCCTTGGAAAAGGTATGAATCCTCTTCTTCTCCCCCCAGCTATGGGTAAATAGCAAGACAGACTGGGTTCTATAGACTTGGATGGCAACTGATCTACTGCAGAAAGAAATCTGCCTCATCTTTCATGTATTGAAAGATACATGATCGACTAAGCATGTATCAAGCATGGCACATAACTGACTATGATGTGACCCGCTTAAAATTAGCTTCAAAATAAGGTCTTCAAAATTTGCACGATGCATAAATATATATAAAAGTAGATGGATATATAGTTTTGTCAATGGCATAGCCATGGCCAGTAGTACATACACTAATTTTATATCTTGTGTATGATGTGAGGTGCAGTGGAGTAATGGATAGTGGCTCAGATTGAGGAATCGGAGAGCCGAGTTCAAATTTCAGTCCAATCCATTACATTCACTTATGTGCTATTACCCTTGGGAATTTATGAATACTCTTGTTCTCCTGCCAACTATGAGTAATATGTGAGTGGCTGTTATTTTATATATATATATATATATATATATATATATATATATATAAAAATCACTGGAAGGAACTTTTACAAACTTGTGAAAAATTGAAAAGGTGAATATTTTGCCTTGTAAAAATATTTAACTCATCCTCACAAGCAAAAGGAAAGGAAAAGAATTTTCTAGCCCGGTTTCTTCTTATGAATAGAGTTTTCATATGACAGGAAATAAACTAGATGCAGGACAATTTCTTAATGCCTCCTCTGACTACTTTGACTCAGACAGTTACTCCAACTGCTACTCTGACTATCATGCAAACTAATGACTTGATACATTGTCTTTCCATTTATACCTGCTGCATGGACACATGAATATTTAACAGAAAAATGCTTGGATCAGTTTGTTAAATACTTGCTTAACCAATTGTTCTAGACACCAATAAATAATTTCTTAAATTTTGAGAAGATCCATTATTATTATTTTTTTTTTTTTAAATCAAGTCCACTCCATGCAAGGCAGTAACGCCACTAAGTCAGAAGAGGTTACTAGATGTGGAAGAATTAGAAACAGAACAATTACTAATGAGTGAGAACCAAAAGAGTAATCAGGAGGACAGTAGATAGCGATGGACATTGCATTTAAATTTTTGAAGATTGGCTGGAAAGCATGAAGCCAGAAGGGAGTTCCATAAGCAAGAAGTGTGAGAAAAGAAACTGTTAGCATAGAATTTATGATTACATCTAGCCAACTCAACTGTAAATTGATGAGATCTTCATGCCAGTCTAGTACTGAGCTTAAATTAAAAAAGTCTAGATACCATAGCAAAGAGCTCATTTGAACAATTGCCATGAAAGTATTTATAGAAAAGGCACAGGAAGGCAATCTTACAGTGGTGGGAAAGTGACTGAATCCAAGATGCCAGATCAGGACTGATAATATTACTGATTATCCCAAGAACTGTTTTGAACTCATTCTTTATACTACTTTTGTAGTTACCACAGCTGATCCATTCTACAGCTTACTTCTGATGCAAAGACCATAAGAAAAGAAAATGTGTCTTTTTTTTTTTAGAAAATAGTTGAGAACAGAAAAGAAATTTGGGTAAATATTCTCTCTCCAGTTCCTCTAATTCCCCGCAAAATAATATAAGGCAAAAACTACCCAGACCATGAAAGACAAACTTGAGGAACATCAGCAATTTTTAAAGGTAAAGTAGAAAATCTGCTGGAAGAAAAGCCTACACCACCCCCACCTCTGTTATTTATGCCCAAATAATAGACCATCATCATCAGTCTCATGACAGGGTGTGGTTGTAGAGATTCTGAGCACCTGACCCAATTCATATATGGGTTGAAAGCTGCAGAGGTATTCATTCATGCATAGCATATCTTAGGCAAGTAAAGCCAACAGACACCCCAACCAATGTCTTCCAACATGAAAGTTCACCTTGGCCACAGATATTGGCTGTTGATTCCATTGGAGGAACTCTTTACCCTTTGCTGTTGAGTTCAGTCTGTAAATCCCTCCACCCAGCAAGGCTGTGTCATCACAGTACTGTCTACCTACATAGCTGTTGATCCCAGTCTACTCCATTGTGCTAGATGGCTACTGACCCCACTAGTAAATATTATAGATATTGTAATAATAGATAAAGAATTATATGAAGTTAGTGACTGGTGTGGATTTCTTTACTCAACTGATCAAGGATTAAAGAACATCTCTGTACTTAAGAAATATTGAATTACACATGGGTTGCTGAGAATGGAGCTTGTGGCTTGCATTGCTGGGAATAAACTTAGTGAATCATAAAAATTTACAAAAAATACACCTGGAATGAAAAAAATGGTAAAAGGAAATTGTAGAAAGGACTATGCATGGAAACTGACCTGTCAAGGCTTGCTGTAGTTTCTTTTGAGTATTTGAGGCTCTTGACCATCGAATTTTACTCCCATCTCTTTTAGCATCTTCAAAATAATAAAGGATGTTCACTTCAGGTCCGACTCGCAGAACTGGAAGTCTCTGGCGCAAGAAATTAGGAAGCAATCCTGAAGTTAGAAACAGAAATAAAAGAAAAATATAGTAAAAATTCAAATTAGACAGTAAGCAGGTCAAGTATTCATTATTTATTCATGGTATAGATGGTAACCACCTTAGCTATTTATGTCAGTGGCTAGATGGTAACCACCTTAGCTATTTATGTCAGTGGCTAGATGGTAACCACCTTAGCTATTTATGTCAGTGGCTAGATGGTAACCACCTTAGCTATTTATGTCAGTGGCTAGATGGTAACCACCTTAGCTATTTATGTCAGTGGCTAGATGGTAACCACCTTAGCTATTTATGTCAGTGGCTAGATGGTAACCACCTTAGCTATTTATGTGAGTGGTTAGAAGGTAACCAGCTTAGCTATTTATGTAGCGGTTAGATTGTAATCAGCTTAGCTATTGTATATATGTTATGGTGAAACACACCTATTCTATAGTTAATAGACTTCTCCACCTAATATAAATAAGAGTAGTAACAGAAACGAGGGTCAGTCAATGTTGGACAACAATAGTCGAATACGAAAGTAGTCAGCGAACACAACAAGATTACTCTGTGTAATACCTATTATATCAAGTTCCTAATGATTTGTACGTCGAACCTATTTAGGACCAATTTAGTACAAATACAAGCCTCTACTGTGAAATAACTCCGCAACAATATACTAGAGCATAGTGCAAGTTTTTAAGCAATAAGGAAAGAAGGCTTGGAAAAAGAAATTCTGGAAAGCCATGATCGCCAACACCCTGAAGGTAAACAGCAAGTAAAAGACGAAGAATATATAAAACACATGCTAATTATGTTGAGACCATGCAACCATGTTTTATGTCTGCATAGATTTAATAAATATGGTCTCCAAAACTTTCTGTTGGAAGTCTGAGTGTAAATGGATCAAATAATAAACATATCCTTATGTTGCTGTTTTTTTTTTTTTTATCAACTATTCTATTACAGATCTAGACGCATTTATGCATCTGTGCAAATTCTGAAATATTATTGATACATGTGCATATCCTATTTTGAATGCACACAATTTTTATTGTATCCTTTTTTAGTTGTATTCACAGCTGTTTTATTTTCATTTGTAAAGAGTTTTTTTCTCTCTTCTCTTTCCCTTTTTTTATGTCTTTCCTGAGTTGTTACTTGTTATGACTATATCCACTTTTTTCTTGCTTTTTATGTTGTCTTCTAATTTTATTGAATATGTCTGTTTTTATGGCATCGACAGGTGGTTAGAATGTTTGCTTTCTGAACATTATATTGTTCATACTACATATATTAAAATAATAAGAAAGAATAGTAAGATTTATAATCCGGTGTTCTTAGCGATTATTTTTATTTTTAAAAAAACAGTGCTCGATACAAACAATAGAGCATATTATTATAATTATTTTCTTATTTAAAAATATGATTCCATTGTGACTCAGGAATTTCTATGTCTCAAAACTGAAACTAAATTTATAAATTTAATTATAAAAATTAAACTAATCCAGAGTTTCGTTCCAATGTCAAGTGATTCCAGGAATAACTTTCTAAGAAATTTACTTAATTTATAAGGGCAGACAATCTTAATATTTTGAGTTGTTAAGGTTAAGGAAAATTCAATCTATTTTGAATAGGGGTGGTTGGGTTTTAATTTCCCTAGACAACTTATGTATTAAATATATGTTACTTACAAAGTAAGGTAAGTTTAGGTGGGGTGGGAGTGCTTGAATATGGGAAATTTGTTGTTTAAAAGCAGTAATTTGATCTTGCTAACCAGATGCTTTCTCTGCAGCTAAATGGTATAGCGCATCAGGCTATATGATGGTTCTGTGTAGGATACAGGTTCAATTCCTGTCAGAGGACACATATTTTCTATGGAATTTCTCGGACATTCAGGCCAGTAAATGTTGTTAATACTGTTTATTATAAACAGAGCATTTACTTAAACATTTATATCTATAAAAATAACATATAAACAATAAATATACTAAAATAATGGTTGGACTTAGTCTATTTCATAATACATATATATAAGTGGACATTGAAGTCAACAACCAGAGGCGTCAGTATGTTTCATGTTAAATGCAATCGCCAGACCTGTGTTTAGAATGAAACAGACTGTTGCCTCTGGTTGTTGAACTCTATGTTCATTTTCATATTTACATACACACTATCCCTGATATTGAACACTTTAACCTATAAATATTATATACCTTAAAACTATATTTTATCATATTATGTCTATTTATTTTTATAATGATCCTTTCTAGTTCTCTAATCAGTTTCTCGGTGTTAACATGAAATTCATCAAGGAAGGTGCCATAGTTTTTTTCCTACTCAAGTACTTTCTATCTTCTTCTCAGATCATCTTCAAGGGTGCAAGTAGTACAAAACTACTGTTGTTCAGGTGTACAAGTATTTATACAAAGCTGTGTGTTGCTATCTGTTTCCGTAATTTTTCATTATGCTTTTAAATGCAAATGGTTGACAATGTGCTGAGCATTCATTAGAATATGAAAAAATTATCCATTATGGAATTTTTTCTTCTATGTTATAATGTCATCGGTATATGACAACTATACTAACAAGAATTCTTACACTACACATGTCTGATCATTTGTCTGTTGTGAGACATCTCCAACATTTCTGTCCACATTCACAATATAAAAAATTGAAAATAACAAATTCAAGCTACAGATCTTAGAAGCAATTTATATTGAAAAATTAAAGCCTACACTGAACATAATCAACTATGAATACTGCACTAATATTCTGAAATGCCTATAAAGAAACAGTTTTTCACACTTTAATGTGTGCATGACCACGACATTATAACTTAGAGGAAAAAATTCCATAATAGATAATTTTTTTCATGTTGTAATGAATGCTCAGCACATTGTCAACCATTTGCATTTAAAAGCATAATGAAAAATGACAGTACTGGACAGCAATGCACAACAAATTTCATTAAAAATTAGCAGACATAATTTCCATAATTTATTCAATCAGACATGCCTAAAAGAGAATTTGCTGCCTAAATACACAAATATATAAGATAACGATATATAAATTTTTATATATCAAAAACAGTTTTGAAGGAAAGATGTATGACAAAGATTTTGTGTAACTTGTTTTGTCCTTTAGGACTTCATCGAACTAGATTTGTTTATGTTGATGCCATTATACATGGTCAGAAATAAGAGATGCTGGTAATTTTAAATTTAGAAAAAATAGTTTTTTTTTATGTGTTTTGGGTTTAGCCATGATCTAGCCAATTTAATCTAGATTCTTTTTGCTTTAAAGATCGCCCTTTGTGATAAAAAAGGTCTGCCAAGAATGGTGAAACATAAGAAACTAGATGCAAATTTACTGTGGATGAACTAGCAATTAAAGCACTTTCTAAACATTTTCGTCTAAGTAAATTATTTTCTCTCTTATTTAAAGTAGCATTATTTAGGTCAAAATTGTGATCAGTCTTGTTATGATGAGCAACTAATGCACTGTTTTTTAAAATATCTCTTTTGTATTCATATAATCTTTTATTTAATCTTCTTGAAGTTTCTCCAACATATATATAAAATAATAAATACAGAATCCTTAAAAATCTATTCAGGTGATATTTTATTTTGTGGACTTAGAAGTCCATTGTAAAATTTGGTCTGAAGAGATGGACTTCAGAGACCACAAAATAAAATATCACCTTAATGGATTTTTAAGGATTCTGTATTCATTATTATATTTGCTCTGTTCTTACATTGAACTCTCTTTGGATTAATAACCTCCTTGGAATTATCCCTACTAATTATCAAGTGATATTATATATATATATATATATATATATATATATATATATAAAGAAATATAGTCTTAAGATGTGCTATATTTATGGGATAAAGTGCTCAATATCAGAGATAGAGCGCGTGTAAATATAAAAGTGAACATAGAAGACAACACTTAGAGGCGACAGTTGTTGACTTCTATATTCACTTATATATATATATATATATATATATATATATATATTGATAACAAGCATGCTACCACAAAATAAAAAGTATGGAAAAGGTGGGTAAATTAGAGGCTAATAAATGGGTGGACTAAATCAGATGTTAAATTTTAAAGATTCCTGATTTTACAGGGTGCAGCAGAAATACCCCCCACATAATAATGTTAAGACATTAATGGCAATGGTATCTTCATCTAATTAATGTCTTACCAATATGTGAGTGGTATATGTGGGAGTTATTGATGCCACACGCTGTATATTTTTATCTGATCCTCTCGTAAAATGAGCCTTTTTTTTAAGGTATATTACCTTTCTGCGAACGTTTTTGTTTTGATTTTAAATGCACAAATTATTTTTGGCTTTTTGCTTGTACTTATTTCTGGGAATGAGATATAAATGTTTTTCACATCTAAAATTTATATAAAAGATTTAAAAAGCTAATGTTTTGAAAAAACAAAAAAAGGAAAATTAAGTTTTCTGATTTATTTTGAAAATTAATTCAATGATTTTTAACAAATTATACGGTTCAGCTTAATAACATTATCATAGATTAAGTACAAGAGGATAAGCATAGTTTTCCATTTAATTCTCAGTTATATGAAGAGGTGGTGGACCTGATGCACAATAGATATGAACAGACTGAAACAGATAGATACATATGAACAGACCGAGACAGATAGATACATATGAACAGTCAAACAGTGCCATGTGTGATATATGTTTAAGCTATCATGTATTTTTCGATACATGACTGATGAGGCAGATTTTTTCCTGCAGTAGGTTACTATTTCTTTCTGTGGTAGACCAGTTGCCATCCAAGGCTATAGAACCCGGTATGTCCTGCTATTTACCCATAGCTGGGGGGAGAAGAAGAGGATTCATACCTTTCCCAAGGGTATTAGCATGTAAATGAATGTAATGGATTCAACTGGAATTTGAACTTGGCTCACCAATTCCTCAATCCAAGCCACTATCAGTGGAAACAGAATTAGTAGTAACTGTGCAGTACTAAATAAGATGCTATATCTCTAGACATGGATAGTGGAACACAAATCATCTACTTCCATGGATTAAAGAAAAGGTTCAGTTCAAAATTATCTGAATGTTATCAGGATTGACAAAAACCTAGAGGTCAGATGACACAATGACTGAGTGAAAGGATGTGATATCAACAACAAAGATGAGGACATTAGTCCAAATGTAAATATTATTGAGCTGTTAAACTAAGCATTTTATTTTTGCTCATTGGTAGTTGAATAAAGCAGAAATTAATTTTAATTTCCTCTTTCATTTTTTAATTTAACTTGGTAATAATTTCAAATTCAAATGCATTTAGGTCACAGCCATGGCAACCAAAAAAATCAAAACGCAAAAAGGGAGTAAGTAATGAATGAATGTTATTTTCTAAAGAGTAAAAAAAAGTAAATAACTTTTTATACAGAAAAAATTTTTAAAATTATTACTTTATTTATTGTTTTATTAAAAAAGTTTTGAAAACGAAGTGTACTACATTTTTATGGATTTAAAGTGCAAATAATTAGAAAAAGTATTATAAAATAGATTTGGAAAAATTTTTTTTTACTAGGGTAAGTAAGTAAAGGTCAACCAACCCATTCAAAATATGCAGCAAGGTATGGGGTTCCATATTTATTGTAAATATAGTCAATAGTGTGACAACATAACCTTTTGGCTTGGATTTTAATTTATTTAAAAACAAAACCTCAGACAGTGGGTGAAAAATTACACACGCAATGATTTATTTTAAACTTAATATCAAAAGAAAATTGACAATTATAACTTAAGTCAGCTTTTTAAAACAGAACCGCTTACGGTAAAATGGTCACGTGATATTCCACGCCTTGATGAAAGATTTTTTTTTTATGTTTGTATTTTCAATTAAGTAAAATTAAATTAAGAGATCTTTCCTAGTTTACCATTTTTATTCCCAATGTTTTTAAATTAAAACAAAAATATGTAAACGGAATCCTGATTTTTTTAAACGTTCAGTAGGAGCAAGGAGGAGTTTGTTTTTAAAAAACTAAAAGAAAACAAAATCGAGACTATGTTCTCAAAAGTTGTTTTTTTAGGTTATTAAAAAAAACAATTTTAAATAGTTTAATTAATAAAACAAATACCGTCGCTAAAAAAATTAAATCACGAATTAATTGTTGATTACAATAAAAAAAAAAAAATAACACCTGAAGAAAATTTAAAAGGTGCACCAGTAACTAAAAAGAATTCTAGTTTTAAATTAAAATAAAATAAAATCCGACCATTTTAAATCCCAGAATACAAAGTTAGATTACCAATGATAATTATTTTTGAAATTGTATATAAAGAAAAAAGATATTTTTTTACGCAATCATGAATATATTAAACGAACGTAAACCACTATTTGCAATTCTGCTACATAAGAAGTCATTACAAGAGCGGTCTTTGTACTACTGCTTAAGAGTTAGGTATTTCGCTTGTGTTTTTAACTCTTGTGTTGCTACAACATCGACATAAGCTTCGTACCAACCTCCATTAATATAGACCCAGATAAGTAAGATGATCAGAAATAACAGAAATCTGGCCAAAATCGACTTCTTTACGAATTTAGGTGCCGACATCAGTTGTGATAGTTTCAACTCCATAATGCTCTGCGCCATCTTCTGAGTAGTTTTGTATGTAATAATAATACGAAACCCATGTTTTAGTTTAGGGAGGGGGTACCACGTTTATACCCCGTCAAAACCCCGATAGATTGTAGCGAAGAAATAAAGAAACAAAAAAATATCAAATTAATGAACCTGTTTATTAATGCTTGAATTTTGCCTTTAGAGGGTAGAGAATGAAAAAAACAATCAAACAAACAAAAAAAGTCTCAAAGTAAATAATTTAAAAACAATGTCTGAAATGCAAATTTATTGAAAGCATGGTGATAATTTGGGTAAGAACCGTAACTCTTTTGAATATTTTGAAAATTATTCCCCTTTGAATTACAGTTGTAGATGCGCAGGTGGTTTAGTGATTAGGGAGTGGGGGCGAGAAACCGGTGAGCCGAGTTCGAATTCCTGTCGTCATATTTACTTTCGTATATGTATCCTTGGAAAAGGCATGAATCCATCTATTTTCTCCTCATAGAAGGACAGATTCAACTGGATGTGGGGTGCATACTTGAACTTTAAGGAAGGTCCACTTAGCATAGTTGCAGTGTAAACCACAGTCTTGGTCTGTGGGTGTTTTAAAAACACAAATGGACCTGAGCAGATGGGTCTGTTTGGAAATGAGCAGTCATGCAGAAAATGAGAAATCAAACTGATTTATAATGTGTCTTCAAGTCGAAACAACTCTGGTGATGAGGAATTACACTACAGTTAAGCAAGAAAAGAAATAGATTGTTTGGGGACACATAAAATGAGAATATGATAAACCCTTTTTTGAAACGGATTTATAAGTGTAAGGGGTCCTAATCCTGGGTAATGATGCAGAAAGATGTTTGATTGGGATTTTAGATGTGTGGAGCCACCTCTTAATTGCTGTTGTTCCCAGGTTCACTTAGGGTGGTAGCATCTGTTAGGATCCCGGCTATGGATACAGAGTGAACCCCTAAACAAAAGCAAAACACTATGAAAGTATAAAAATACATTTTTATAGTAAAATGACCAGCAATACATTTTATAGTAGAATGATCAACAATAAATTTTATAGCAAAATATATTTTGTCCATAGCTGAAGGCATGCAATTACGTTCAAAATATTTAGATTTCAGCATTAAATAAGCCATAGAGGTTGATATGCTGCTAAACAAAATCAACCAAAATATCTCATTGCAAGAGTGTTGTGAATATTAACATTTTTTGAGTTTCAACTGTTCAAGTTAAATTAAATAATTTTCTTTCATATTGAAATCCTTTTTTGTCTTTTTCTAAATTCATTTTTGTTCATTCAGTGAAAAGAAAGCATAAGAATTTCACAATATTTTAATTGCAAGTCAGTGTCAAAAATCATTAAAATGAATATATATTTCTGAAATTTACAATATTCAAGAAAGAAACCAAACTGAGGTTAGGGCAGTTAATTTTACATGTCAATCCTTGTCAAATTTTTGTATGGGGCACCCAGTGAGGATCAAACTCACAACTTAGCAGTAATGGTCAACCCTAGCTAACCATTACCCCATGCCAAGGCACATGCCAAATTTAAGAGTGTACTCAATCTGTTTCTTATTTTAATCAACGATTTTCCTGATATCATCAGTTCCCAACTCAGTATCTATGCGGATAACATAATTATTTACTCTTGCCTTAATAACAAGCCTGATAGGTTCAATAAAATCAAATTGGTAGCTGATCTTGAAAATGACCAACAGGCAAGAAGAGGCTTGTTAATTCTAATGCATATGAAATGGAACTACTTTCTATTAATCACCTTAAAGAACATTTTTGCCTTCCATCAACATGGCTGATGCTAATTTCCAGGAGAGGAATTCACTATGCATACATGGTCTCACATTTTCCACTGACATGAAGTGGAATGATTATTGGGAATTAATTGCTAAGTCTGGTTCACTATGCCCTACTAGACAATTTTTCCTTGCCAGAATATAACTTGCACATTTAAAAGTCTACCATTTGTCTGTGCATCGAATATTGTTGCCATATCTGGTCTGGTGCTTTTGCAAAGTATCTAGAGATTCTTAACAAAATCCAAAGAAGAATTAGCTATATTATCAGTCCTGACCCGACACTTTCCCACTGCCATAATGTAGCTTCCCTTTGCCTCTTCTATAAATATTTTTATGGTAATTGTTCTGATGAGCTTTCCTTGTTGACTTTGTGAATTTAAATGCAGTATTAGATTGGCAGCTAGGTCTCATAAGTTCACTGTTAAAATTGCTAGTTGTAACCATAAGTTCTATGTTAATAGTTTCTTTGCTTGCACTTAGCACTTGTGGAACTCTCTTCCAGCTTCCTGCTTTCTGTTAACTATGATCTTCAAAAATTTGGATGCAATGTCAGTCATCATCTTCTTGGACAATGGAAAGGGCAAAGTTTTTAAAAGTTTTGCTTTTACTTTACAAAGATAAATTTCTAAAAGCTATCTTGAAGTTTATTGGATTATCCTGAGCTGAAATGTTATCAAGATTCAACAGTCAGAATAGCAAATATTATACAAGATTTCAAAAACTGCTATGGGTTGGACCTTTTTTCTAATTTTAGTTGTACCATGGTGGAGTAATGGATAGCAGCTTGGATTGAGGAATTGGAGAGCCGAGTTCAAATTCCAGTTGAATCCATTACATTCACTTGCGTACTAATACCTTTGGGAAAGGTATGAATCCTCTTCTTCTCCCCCACCCTGCCAGCTATAGGTAAATAACAGGACACACTGGGTTCTATAGCCTTGGATGGCAACTGGCCTACTGCAGAAAGAAATGGCAACCTACTGCCTCATCAGTCATGTTTTAAAAGATACATGACTGCCTAAGCATGTATCATGCATGGCATATAATTGACTGAATTATAGTGATATAAAAATACAAACTTTCTTATTATATAATTCTTCTTATTGGATAACAGATAAAAATGAAAATAAAACCCTAATTAGTTTTATTAGTATTTACCCCACTGCCCCTCTTAATGGGAGCAATTGTCCAGGTGGTGGGCAGTTGTCCTATAGGGACAATTTTCTGAGACCAGTTCTCCTGGAGGCAGTTCTCCTGATAACATTCTTTTATTGTCCTCTCTGTTTATTTCATTCTTGGTAACCCCTTGCATCCGGGTGGCTTTTTATTACCTTACTTGCAGTTAAATGATTAAAAAAAAATGGAAAGAAGTAAACTTATCAAAAAGCGATGTTAGCCCAAAATATTAGAGTCTATTAATCATTATGTTATATTCCGTGCTAATAGGAATATATACTTGAAATACGAGGTGGATAAAATAAGTAAAGGTTTATTGTAATTAATCAGTACAATAAGAATAAAGGTAACAGTTATGCACAAGGTCGTCGCAAGTCAATCCAGTAGTGAGTGCTACTATTGGAAGGTTGGTAGTTCGCACGTAAGTCTGAATCATAGTCAACATATCCCAGCTAGTATATTTAGCTACCCCCCCACGAGGGTTGCATGTGGCACAAGGCCAGTTTAATGTGGGTTCTCTGAGCCTGTAGGCTCGGCCAAAAATATTCCTTTTTGAACCCGTATAAACGGGTTCAGGAACAGTCCACCTCCCCAAATGAGACTCTGCCCTTCAGCGGAGCCTCGTCCGGGTTCCTCTCTGCCCAAAGGCAGAGAGTTTGACTGTTTAGCTGGAACAGATCGCAGCTAGTCTATGTAGTTCGTTGACTTGCAGATATAGGTAGTTACTACCTATAGTGTAGTCACTCATGGGGGTAACAGGTTATTCTATTACATCACATTATAAATGTTTTCTGGCTGTTCTGTATTCATTAAGAAACAATCAAAAACGGGTTTGTTGTTCCAGGTAACCGTTAAGTAATTTTAAACTGAATCCTTTATTTAATCTGTGAGGATAGATTGTTCTTATTCCCCTGTCCTAGGGACATTGTTAACATTTTTTTCCATTCTGAGTGAATTACCGCTAATGATAGTTTTGGGGAAAGGATGAAGGTAATAAAATAATTGCTGAAACCTGTACCTTGCCACCCTACATACAAAGCTCCTTGATCAAGGAAAGGTAAAAGATCAACTGAAGGTGAAGGAAAGAGAAAGAAAAGCAGAGGTATTTTTTCTACTACAATAAATTGTTTTGATAAACTTGATTTTTTAACTAATGGCTATTCAAGCTGTTAAAATTTGAAATGCTTGTGTTGATCGCCAAATTTTTCAGGTAAATTGAAGCTGATCTTTGACTATAAAAATCCCTGAAATACAACCATCAACAGGACTAAGAGAAGCAATGCATGGAGTGGGAGACACAATGCATTCCAAAACATCTGAAACCCTGACTAAGTATAATCTCAAAGAAGTGGACATGAAACCTCTCCTCAACAAAGTCTTGACAACTAAATTGTCATTTTATGACAAAATTAAGTCTTACTTTCACCCTGACTACTGTAACAAATAGTCATTTCCACAAGAGAGAACGAATACTGTTCTCAAAAACAACACTCTTCATTGGAGACTCTGAATTCTGAAGGCATGAACGGATTCTGTCACAAACTTTTTTTACATTTTTTTTTTACAGTAAGTTTCACCCTGTACAAGGCCCGGGGGCCACTCAAGACAGAAGGTTATGTTAGCAGGGTAGTTAGGAGAGGAAGATAACAGTTGACTCTAGACTAATATTGTAGCAATCAGGGAAACATCCAATTGGGAGTTTGTTCCATAAGACAGTAGTTTGTGGGAAGCAGATGTTTGAGTGAGACTTACTTCTTATCGATGGAATATAGAGAGAATGAGGGTGGTTTGTTACTATGTGTAAGTAGCATGGTGGGTCTTAGCCATGAAAGTCAGACTTGGTGGCACCAGGAGATGCATTTCGTCTGAGCACATTCCATGGACGTAATGATAAACCAGTGAGAGACTTACCACATCCTACCTGTGAGAGAGAGGTTGGACAACTGACATCAACTCATAAGAACTATTAAGAACATTCACATTTTA